TAACTTGTGGAAATAGGTTAACAATGGAAGGTAAAAGAAAATTATTGGTGTGCAGAATTTATTAAACCTAGACATGATTAAAAATGAGCGACATAGATACTTGATGCTGAATACGAAAACCAATTATTAGACATTACATGAAATTATCTTGAGCATGTGGAAATGGAAATTGCATCTAAATTGAAGTGGTAGAGGAGGCTGGATCTGGAGGACCTGGGACTTCAACAGATCCTTCCATAAGTTGTAGCACTCTCTTCATGGTAGGCCTTAATGTTGGATCCTCCTGAATGCACCAAATTGCTATCATCACAAACTTGTCAAATCTCTCGTCGTTTAATGCCTCTTCGTCGTTTGCCCCTAACAAATGTATTGTTCCTTCCTTGTAACAATCATAAGCAAAATCAGCAAGTATCTTTTCACTCTCAGACTCAGCCTTGGGTTCGAATTTGTGTCTGCAACAGATAAGCTCGAGCAACAAGATTCCAAAGCTGTAAACATCAACCTTGACTGTAATTGGCATGTTTCTGAACCATTCTGGAGCGACATACCCTTTGGTTCCCCTTATTCCCGTGGTGGTTCTTGATTGATCTGCCTTCAAAAGCTGGCTAATCCGAAGTCCGATATTTTTGCTGTGAAGGATTCATCTAAGAGTACATTTTGAGGCTTAATGTCACAGTGTATGATTTGATTGTTACATTCGTCGTGCAAATAGCAAATACCTCTCGCTGTTGCAATTGCAATCTGCACTCTTTTGTACCAGTTGGGCCTTGAATTTTCAAACAGAAAGTTTGCAAGAGAGCCATTGCTCATGAATTCGTATACCAAAAGCTGGTTTTGGTCCTCATCACAATATCCCAGCAATTGAACTAGATTTTTGTGACTAGTCCTCCTAATTGAGCTTACTTCCGTTTTAAATTCTTCCTCACCTTCTGTAGCCATCTTATGCAGCTTTTTCACAGCAACTACAGTTTCAGTATTGTCGTTCTTAATAGTTCCTTTGTATACTGTTGAATAAGCACCCCTGCCTAATTCCTCCACGAATCCATTTGTTGCTTCTTGTAGCTCTTTGAAACTGAATATTCTTATGTTCAGACCAGCCGGAAGAAGTTGATATGATTGAAGCCCCTTCGATTTTCGTTTACTGAAGGAGAAAGCACACAAGAAGATGGATAAAAGTAGGAGAAAATTAAGTAACATGGAACTGCCTAAGAAAACTGATCTGGTGGTGATTAGAATGGATCGTTTACTTTTCTTAGAGGGAGACGAGTCTGCTGTTGCATTGCTATTTCTTATTTTTATAAAAACTTTCCCCCCTGCGTTAGCATCGATCTTCCCATTGGCAAGAGGAAATCTCTTCTTATAACAATTACCTTTTTCATATCTCGCAGCAGTACAATAACAATCATCGAGGCAAACCTGTCGACACCAATCTTCTGAGACTTGCCCAAAAGCAGCATAATCGGAGTAAGGCCAATCTGCGTTGGGCTTGTCAATGATACTAAAAAGGTCAGTTTCACGTCCCTCTCCATTGCAACTTTCTGGAGTGAAATTTGGTCTGCAATCACTCCTGCTATCACTTGGATCTATGAAAGAGTAACCAAAAGGGCACTCACACTTTGCTATTTGATCAGTTCCCAATGAGCAGAGACTATTGAAACCACAAGTAACGCCACCTGAATTTTGCGATAAGATCCCGCATATATTCTGAGGTATGAAGTCCATAGTAGACCACCCCACTGCTCTACCACCTGATGAATTAGCAGACTTAGGGTGGACATAAAGTCTTAGAACCCCATCATATTCCAGTATTGCTCTCTGGTAAAACTGACTAGTCGAGGTAGCCCTTGGAGACAATAAATTGAGGACACTTCCATTTCTTCCTTCAAGAAAGACGTTGCCCGACTGATTGAAGATCACCTTGAAGCCACTATCCACAGTTTTCGTTGACCAATAAGAAAAATTTGCTTTGTCAATGGCTAAATTTCTGGCGTAAGACACAAGATTTCCATCTTGTAATGTGAAGATGAATCTTCCTCTCGAAAAGTTTGATTTAGAGAAGCTGGAAACAAGTTTGCCATCTATATTCAGTGACTGTGTTGGTAATAATGTATCAGTTGGCTCATCAAAACTCTGCCACAAAACATCTGAGTTGGTATTTGCTAACACAAAATTACCAGTGTCAAGCATGGCTCCGTATGCCACTCCAGCACGATACCATATCTTCTGGCCTCTAGGATCACTAAGTTCAAACCTTCCATCTGCAGATAGTTGAACTTTTGATCCTTCTTGGACAAGATTATCGCGATTGGCCGACCAAACAATGGTTCTTTCGGGTATTTCGTTGAACCAGATTGCCATTAAGTAACCTCCACGAATGATCTGCTGGAAGCCAAAGGCAAATTCTTCAGATGGTGATAACCATGTGGAATTTTCATTGTTTGCAGTTAATGATGAACCCGAAGTAACATTCCTGTAAGGCTGAGCTGTGGGTGAGACTGGTAATAAAACCAGCAGGACAAAAAACATTGTAATTGAAACTGCGAAAGCCATGCAGAAAGTGATTTCCCTCAAAAGAATTGATTCAGTTGAGACGAAAGTTTTGTATTAGCTGTTTTTATCATTGCAGGTGAAGCTTCTATGTCTACTTAAGACCGTACGATCCAAGGACATAGCAAATGATTTCATTTCAAATATTAAATCTCCATAGACGCGTAAAAGGGGTTGAACTCTTTGGATTGCAACGGTCAAAATGAATGACTGACAAAGTCACCCATGCCTAAGGAGCCGAAACCACCTTTGACAAAGTCACCCATGCCTAAGGAGCCGAAACGACCTTCGGATTCCAACGGTCAAAATGCATGACTGACTGCGATTCTTCTCAATATTCCTCCATATAAATTGATTTATAAATTTGTCAAATGTAGGCTAAATGATATTTATCATGCAATCATGGTAAATAAGTTACAACTGATATCACAGTTCCCTCTATATGCATAACCAAATAGCAACTGGGAGGGGAAAATTGATTTGAACTGAGGCATTATAGGACTCTGTAGAGTGAATATGTTAAACCATGTGATGAATAGAACCCTAGAAAAACCACAAAGACCCAGAAGAAATATTCAATCTAAGATTAGCTTAAGAAACTAAAGAAGTAACTTTTACAACAAAAATGCAATCTTTGAAGCAACTGCGAAGAGCTCTGATGAAGAAACCCTAAACAAAAAGAAGTTAAAAAGTGAATTCATTTTTTTTTTTTTTTAAAACGAAAGTCTAGTTTTCTTATAATTATTAGGATAAATATATTCACACCACAATTTTTATTTCTTATACCACATTTTAATTATATTTTAGGTTTTCAATCTTTACTCATTTTAGCATTTTATGTCCCTAATGATTTTTCATGGCATTTGTACTCACACTTTTTATTAGTTAATATTTTTGTATTTCACAATAGTTTATGTCCAAATATATATATATATATATATATATTTCACTCATTTCAAAAAATGGAAACTAAATAGTTTAATATAAATCATCGTCAAGATGAGATGTACTAATTAATGAAACGTTGAAGATAAGAATCCGATGAAAAAAAAAAGTAATGAATAATTGCCACAACGAATAAAGATTGAGGAACTTAATTGTAATTAAAATATGGTGTAACAAATAAAAACTGTGATGACAATATAACCTCCCCAGATATAGGTCATTTTGTCATGCACCAAAACTTGTGGTAACTCTACTTTATCACTTGACATGAAAGAGTGGTACTTGAATTCTTATTTAACTTTATATGGCATTTTTTGTTTTTACTTTCAACTTGACATACTTGGGAAAGTGAGAAGGTATTGATCATATGAATTACATATAACTCATTGGCACATCAAAGAATTCGAACTTGAAATCAAATTTTATTACTCAGGATTCACGTGACTCTTTGTACGCGAGTGGAATCTTATTTTTCGTGGTCATATAAGATTATCACAATTCAATACGTTCTATATTAATATAAGTTCGAATAATATAATTTTGTTAAAATAAAGCATCCAACTTTATTTACTAATCACAAAAAATTTGTTTGAATCACATTACAAATTGTGTTTGTCCATAGTTAACAGCATACAACCTATAACTTCAATTGTGATCACAAATCCTTACAATCTGCTACTCAATTTAAATGTGCAAAACACACACAAAAAAAGGAGAAAAAAAAAAGAAAGAAAGAAAAAGAAAAAGAAGAAATCGTATTATTAATGAAAAAAGTCACGAAATAATATCCTCACGGCACGTATCCTAATGTGCAGTTCCAATGTTATTTCTTATGTTTATCATAGCTTCCCCCCATACTAGAATCAACTCTCCCATTGGAGAGAGGATATTTCTTCTTCAACAATTACCGTCTCTGTATCACACAGCAGCACAAAAACAATCGTTGAGGCAAACCACACCAATCTTCTATGACTTGTAGAAAATACGCGTAACCAGAGAGAGGCCTATCAATGTTGGGCATGTCAGTGATACTAAAAAGGTCGGATTTACTGACGTAGCGGAAATATTATAGGGAAGATGAACAATCACAAATTGAGAAAACTCTCAAGGAAGATTTTATTGAATTCAAGAACTACTGCCTCTAAGGGCTTACAACTGATTAAATAGAAAAAACCTAGGAAAATCCGAAAAATAAAATAAAATAAAATAAAGATATTTTTTTCCAAAAATGGAAAATATGAGATAATTACTAAAATGGAAAATACTTATTTTCGGGATCATCCTCCAACAAACGGAATCTAAATCCGAATTTCATGGAAAGAGATATTGTAAAAATGAAAATTACCATAAATAGCAAAAACGATTAAACGAGGGCCTAAACGATGGATTTTGCCCGAAATTGGTCTGGAGTCAGGGCCGAAGGCGCTGAGTTTTATTCCTTGGCTCGGCTCCAATCAAATTAGACTAGTGATTTGCCAAAAACGAGCAAACTCAAAGTCATCATGAAATCATTTGCCCCTTTTACCAACTTTTGCCTTGTGATGGTCCCATTTTGCCATGAACTCTAATCTCTTATGCACTTCATCATTCTCCCCAGGGTGGGAAAAATTCGCCCTCGAATTTGACGGGAAAGGAGCTTCATCATTATCACCAAAATTATCACCATGAAATGGCACCAAATGCTTGATATTGAACACGTCGGAGGTACGAATATGGCTGGGCAGCTTTAAACGGTAAGCATTTGGATTGATTTTCTCAATGACCTCCAACGGACCAATCTTCTTCGCGGTAAGCTTGTTGTATTCATGAGCAGGAACACGATCCTTTGTTAACACCGCCCAAACAAAGTCACCTACCTCAAACTCAACATGTTTGCGCTTGAGATCCGCAGCACGCTTATATTCAGCGACAGCAGCCTGCAGCTGATCATGAGTCTGTGAGTGAACATGGTGCAGTTGTTGAATAAAGTCTTCGGCCTTACCATGCATTTTAACAGAAGTAGAAACTAGAACTAGATCAAGAGGACCATGAGGAACAAGGCCATACACCACCTGGAACGGACTAAAACCTGTACTTCGGTTAACAGAATGATTGTGAGCAAATTCTGCTTGACACAACTTCTGATCCCAAGACTAAATGTGATCACCAACCAAACAACGTAGTAAATCACCTAAGGAACGGTTAACAACCTCTGTTTGACCATCTGTTTGAGGATGATATGCACTGCTGAAGTCCAGCCGTGTATTCACAGAGCGCCATAGGCTGTGCCAAAAGTGGCTGAGGAAACGAGTATCCCGATCGGACACAATAGATGTAGGTAGTCCATGAAGGCGATAAACTTCACGAAAGTACAATAAGGCTACATTGACAGCATCTGTAGTCTTCTTGCAGGGGATGAAATGTACCATTTTTGAAAATCGATCAACCACTACGAAGATTGAATCAAAACCACGCTGGGTCCTGGGAAGTCCCACAACGAAATCCATACTCACATCTGTCCAAGGCTGGGTTGGGATAGGTAGGGACATATACAAGCCCGCATTGGTCGCCTTGCCCTTGGCCAAGTGACAAACCTGACAACGCTCCACAAACTTGCTGACATCCTTGCACAATGATGGCCAAAAGTAAGAAGCGGCAACAAGCTGCAATGTTCAGTCACGACCCACATGGCCCTCATTATGCAACTCTTGAATAATCTTCAACCTCAAACTGCTCTCTGGAACACACAACTGATTTCCATGAAAAAGAAAACCATCAACCCATGTAAACTCCGACTACACACCCTCCTGCAACTTCTGGACAACATGGGAAAAGTATAGGTCAGTAGCATATAAGTCACACACCCTGTCAAAACCTGGAACCTCCACTCACATTTCTGTAAGGAGCGTTTGGCGCCTACTCAACGCATCCGCAATTTTGTTAAGGGCACCTGCCTTGTGCTTGATCACAAAAGTAAATTGCTGTAGATAAGCAATCCAAGAGGCATGTCGAGTAGAAACGTTATCCTGAGTACCAAGGTGTTTAAGGGCATCATGATCCGTATACAAAATGAACTCCTTATGGAACAAATAGTGACGCCAATGTCGAACGGCCTGGACTATTGCATAGAACTCCACATCATAAGTACTGTACCGAGACTTCGACCCAGAAAGCTTCTCACTGAAATATGCAACAGGGCGGTTGTTCTGACTCAGTACACCACCAATACCCACTTTCGAAGCATCACAATGTAGCTCAAATGGTTGGGTAAAGTCAGGCAGCACCAAAACTGGAGCAGTAGTCAACTTCTGCTTAATCAATTGGAAAGATGACTCTGCCTCGTGAGTCCACTGAAACCTACCATCCTTCATGCAATTTGTAATTGGTGCCATGATGCTACTGAAATGAGGTATGAACCTGCGATAGAAGGAAGCAAGGCCATGAAAACTCCGCACCTCAGTGACAGTTTTGGGCTGTGGCCATTGACTTATCGCCTCTACTTTAGATGTATCAACTGCGAACCCCACCTTCGACACCACATAACCCAGGAACACCATACTATCAGTGAGAAAGGAACACTTCTTCACTGCAGCATAGAATTTATCCCTGCGAAGAATTGAAAGAACTTCCCGAAGGTGCTGGACATGTTCATCATCATTAGCACTATAAATTAAAATATCATCAAAGTAGACCACAACAAATTTACCGATGAATGGGCGAAGAGCCTGATTCATAACCTGCATAAATGTACTGGGCATATTTGAGAAGCCGAAGGGCATGACTAATCACTCATGCAATCCTTCCCTCGTCTTAAATGCGGTCTTCCACTTATCCCCACGTCTGATCCGAATCTGATGGTACCCACTCTTCAAATCAAGCTTGCTAAACACACAAGCACCGGTAAGCTGATCCAACAAGTCATCTAGGCGGGGAATAGGAAAGCGGTAACGTACCGTAATCTTATTAATTGCCCTACTATCCACGCACATGCGCCACGTGCCATCCTTCTTCGGTGTGAGAAGAGCAGGAACAGCACAAGGACTAAGACTCTCCCTGATGTGTCCTTTTGCCAGAAGCTCCTCAACTTGCCTGCGCAACTCTTCATGCTCAGTGGGGCTCATTCTGTAATGCGCTCGATTAGGTAGGGCAGCTCCAGGCACCAAGTCAATCTGATGCTGAATATCCCGCAGTGGTGGTAGTCCATCAGGAAGCTCGTCTAGGAAAACTTCATGAAACTCCTTTATCAATGGCTGAACTGCGAGAGGGACTTCATGCTCACTGTCAACCAACTTTCCAATCAATACATACACTACTCCAGACTCATCCATCTCTGTCTCAAACTTCTTTCTGGTCAGTAAATTGGCATTGTTCCCAACTGTCTGTACTGAACCCTTATCCGGTAGTAACACAATTTTCTTTCTCCCAAACAGAAAGTTGTACGTGTTGGTATATCCATCATGCAGTGAGTGCCTGTCAAACTGCCACGGCCTCCCTAATAGTAAATGACATGCATCCATCTCTACTACATCACATAAGACCTGATCCTTGTAGGTAGGTCCGATGGAGAAGCTGATCCTAGCACGTTGAGACACTTCTACGTCATTGCCTCTTTTCAGCCAGGCTAATTTGTAAGGTTTGGGATGTTTCTCAGTCTACAAACCCAGCTTCTTAACGACCTCCTCAGCCACCACATTCTCGCAACTACCAGAATCAATAACAAATTTGCACACCTTCCCTCCAACAGTACATGTTGATTGAAAGATATTATTACGCAACCAATCAGTGTTATTCTCCAAAGGAGTCAGGAAACTCCTCCTCACCACCAGTGCCTGACCCACATCACCAACCACAAACTCTTCCTCTTCTGTTGCTTCTTCTCCGCCCTCACCGTCAAATACAGGCGGACCTTCATAATCGTCATTTCCCTCATCAACAAAGAGTTCCCTGCGCGGATTCTTTGGGCACTCAGACTGCCTGTAGCCTATAACTCCTCATCCGAAACAACGAATACCAGCCCCAGGACGTGTTGGTTGTTGGGCAGGATTTGTTCTAGGAGGACCAGATTGGGCAGGATTACCAGGACGTGCCACCTGCTGTTGTGGGTTACTAGAAGAACTCCCTGCAATGAAAGGACTAGTAGTTTTCCTGGACTGTTGCTTTTCTATCTGTATTGCCCTCTGATGTGCTTCAGAAACTGTTACAGGATCAAACATGTTGAGAGTATCTTGTATTTGGGGACGAAGACCACCCATGTACCGTGACACCAACTGCTCCTCCATCTCCATCATCTCGTTCCTCGTAATCAACATATAAAAATCCGTGGTATAGTCACTAACCGTTTTCCCACCTTGACGCAGATTCTGCAGTTGTTGGTACATGGTCCGCACATAATTGTAAGGCAGAAATTGTTTCTTCATATATTTCTTCAATTTGTCCCACGATGCAAGCTTAGGTTTCCCCAGCCTGGATCTTGTCACCTTAGTCTGCTGCCACCACGCCGCTGCTCGCCCACGAAGCCTTGTTGTAATGAGAGGCACACATTTATCGGCAAGAACGTCTTTAAACTCCAAGACCTCCTCCACTGCAGTCACCCAATCCAAGAATTCCTCTGGACTCAATCCACCATGAAATTCTGGAATATCCACCTTAAATCCTGATACCCAACGTCGGTTGTCCTCCTGACCACCCCTTCTCCGGTGAACTGGCAGATCCAATGGTTGTTCAAGCGGTGCAAACAGATTCTCATCATCGGAATCCTCAAGCTGTTGGCCTGTAGGGGCAGGCTGCTGCGGCATAAGCGCAGCGATCTGCCGGGTCAACAATTCCACTTGTTGACGTAGCTGTGCGACTTCATCACGTCTATGTACCTCCTCTACCGGGGCATCACGGGCTTCAGGACGTCTCCTTGGCGGCATGGTGAAGGAACGATTTCGGCTCTGATACCAACTGACGTAGCGAAAATATTATAGAGAAGATGAACAATCACAAATTGAGAAAACTCTCAAGGAAGATTTTATTGAATTCAAGAACTATTGCCTCTAAGGGCTTACAACTGATTAAATAGAAAAAACCTAGGAAAATCCGAAAAATAAAATAAAATAAAATAAAGATATTTTTTTCCAAAAATATAAAATATGAGATAATTACTAAAATGGAAAATACTTATCTTCGGGATCATCCTCCAACAAACGGAATCTAAATCCGAATTTCATGGAAAGAGATATTGCAAAAATGAAAATTACTATAAATAGCAAAAACGATTAAACGAGGGCCTAAACGATGGATTTTGCCCGAAATTGGTCTTGAGTCAGGGCCAAAGGCGCTGAGTTTTATTCCTTGGCTCGGCTCCAATCAAATTAGACTAGTGATTTGCCAAAAACGAGCAAACTCAAAGTCATCATGAAATCATTTGCCCCTTTTGCCAACTTTTGCCTTGTAATGGTCCCATTTTACCATGAACTCTAATCCCTTGTGCACTTCATCAATTTACGTGCCCTTTCATCGCAATTTTGTGGAGCAAAATTTGGATAGCATCCACTCATTTTGTCATTTGGATCAATGACAGAGTAACCAATATGAGACTCACACTTTGGTATTTGATCAGTTCCCAATGAGCAGAAACTATTAAAACCACATGCACCGCTGCCTCTACTTTCTTGTATGCGCATGTGATAAGTGGCTTTTATACACTTATTCGGTATCTTAAATAGCGATATTTGATGATTCTTTTGTCAAAATTTATCCTAATTTTTTGTATTTTATGTTTAATAGGTAAATTCTATGAATGAAAAAGGAATTGAAGGAAAGAAGCAAAAAAGAGCGAAAAATGACAAAATCCAAAGTAGGGGGGGTACTAAATTGGCTATTGGATGAATCGAATAAGACATTGGTTGCATAATTAATTGGGCAAAGAGTGAATTGTATGATTTTAAAATAATTGAGGACTTGGAGAGAAGTAAGATATGTTAGATATTTTTCATCATTTTGCATGTGTTTAATTTTTTTTTTTTGGTTTTGCGAATGATTTGCCGCCTGGATTAGTGTTTGTCGCTGCGCAACGGGGTTCGACCTGCCCGGTCAGGTCGCGGGGGGCTCGGGGGCAACGCCCCCAAAAGAGAATTTTATTTTCAAAAGTTTTTGAATAGGTGCATCTGTTCATTTTTAACAGTCACCTCCAAGGAATACACCTATTCAAACAGTTGCCTCAGTGTCTATAAATTCTGGGCGAATTCTCATTTGCAAACACATTAAACAATTTATTCTTCCTTCTTTCTCTTGGCATCAATCGGTCATTTTCGAGTGTCTTCTTGGTTTGATCAAATAGTCACGATTTGAATCAAACGCCTCCATTGTATCCTGAGAGAGATTTTCTATCATACCCCAGTTGTGACTTTGTTGAATAGGGGAGAAACATCTCTTAAAAGATAACATTTTTTCGTACCTTGGAGTTCATTAACGTATTCAGATTTCCCTACATTATTATCAACAGTTTTAAGAGATGTCTTCGTTTCAAGATCTGACAGTAAATGAATCTGTGGCACCCTCAATTCAAGTCATGAATCAAGATTTGATTCATCTTGATCGGTTTGATGGACATAACTACACGCGTTGGCAGGAGAAGGTTTTATTCTTCTTGACAGCAATCAAACTGTCCTACATTCTGAGTGATGATCTCGTGCCTATTCCAGAAGAAAAAGTAGATGATTCAGATGAACGCAAGAAGGAATTACAGGAACAGCGGAAGAAATGGAAGGATGATGATTTTCTGTGCAGAGGCCATATTCTGAATGCACTATCAGATTCTGTTTACAGCGCACACAGGACTATCGGAACAGCAAAAGAATTGTGGCCGGCATTGGACAACAAGTATCGAATTGAAGAAGCAAGCAACCAGAAATTCTTGATCGGTAATTACTTTGATTTCAAGATGACAGACAGTAAGTCTGTTCTTACCCAGGTATATGAATTACAACTTATTGTTAGTAATCTTAAGAATGCTGAAATTGTCTTGCCTGATGCATTTCAAGTTGGAGCCACTATTGCAAAATTACCAAGTTCATGGAATAGCTATAAAAAGAAATTCAAACATGATGAAACCAAGCATACCCTGGAATCCCTCATGCGTCATTTGCGTATTGAGGAAGACTCCCGTAAATGAGAGAATAATGATCAAGTGGCAGAAAAGGCAAACATAGTTCAAGGAAATCATAAGGGTAACAAGAAGCGTAAAACCTCCAGTTCTAAGGAAGATTATGCAGAAACCTCCAAGAAAAAATTCAAGGGAGATTGTTTCTACTGCAAGAAATCTGGTCATATTGCTCGTGAATGCCGACATCGAATAAAAGACGAGAAGGCAAAGAACGAAAAAATAAAGAAGGATCAAGTAAATGTGACTGATGGAAATCATGATCCAAACTTTGTTGCTGTGGTCAAAGAAGCCAACTCAGTTGGATTTGAAGTAGGATGGTGGCTGGATACCGGAGCTACAATTCATGCAAGTAATGACAAATCTCAGTTCAAGACTTACAAAGAATGCACCGATGGAAGAGAAGTGAAAATGGGTAACAATGTTCGTACCAAAGTTGTTGGAATTGGATCAGTTGAACTGAAATTCACTTCGGGAAAGAATCTGACTTTGGCAGAAGTTCTCCATGTGCCTGAAATGACCAAGAACCTGATTTCTGGGAATCGCCTTAACAAGGCAGGTTTTAAGCTTGTAATTGAGTCTGATAGCCTTATAGTATCTAAGAATAATGTATTTGTCGGAAAAGGTTACTCA